AGGACCCCCCACCCTGTAATAGTGGTAGAATAGGAATATACGAGGACCCTAATATAATCCCTATTATCCCCTATAGTCACTATTACTGGGTGGGGGGTCCACCTAAGCTAGTGCCTTCCATTCTGGCTCTCATATTCTTTTGGAAGATTGAGAAGCGCCTGCAGGATCCAAATCGCCCAAAGTAGGTATTTTGTATGGATTTGTGGGCCCCAGCAGCAGGCTTTCTTACAGACCAGTAGCCCAAGGGTCACCAGCATTTTCGCATCATGGTTTCTACCTTTTTGGGGTTCACCTTAACGCAGCCTAACTCTGGACGTTGTAATCCTAAGCCCTAAATGGCTAAACCCTAAGCCCTAAACCCTAAACCCTCCCACCCATCCAAAACTTCACACCTCATAAGATGCAGGACGAGGCGCTTCCCAGCTTCACGGATCCTAGCTCCTCTGAGGTCAGATCTTAAAGGGTTTAGGGTTTAGGGGTTTAGGGTTTAGGGGGTTTAGGGTTTAGGGTTAAGGGGGTACCTAAACCCCAAAAGTATGTAAAATGATAGTCCTAAACCCCTAATAATGGCCCTAAAGGCCATTATTTTACATACTTTTGGGGTCCAGGTAGGGGGTTTTGAAGAGAAGGAATCTTTCCCCCTACATTTAAAGCAGTACGCAGAAGAGGCCCTACATATTGGAAACATCTTTGACATGACGTCTGCGGAGTTTTTTTTTCGTTTCAGGGGATATGAAGGGAATGTGAGTATGCAGGACCCATCCTGAACCCCAAAAAAGTAGAACACTGGCCTTTCCGGCTGCAGCTTAACCCTAAACCCTAATCTAGGTGTTTTGGGCTGTTACTTTACCTACGTTTGGAGCCGAGGATGATGTTTGTGGTCATTACTGTTAGTGGGAGGGAAACCCCGAGGGTTCAGGGCTAGGGTTTCGCGCGTTGGGGGTTAGGGTTTAGGGTTCAGGGTTTCAATTTAGGGTTGAGTTTCGCATTTGGATAGTTTGGGGTGTCCGGTGTCATGTTTCGGCTTGAGGGTTGATGGTATTGGTTTGGGGTTCAGAAGCCCTAAAGGGTAAACCGAAAACATTGCAATCTAGGTTTCTGAATTCAGCGAGAGTATTACATATATATATATATACGCTATTATAATATAGTAGTTTCCATTTTCTTTTTCCATTATCCCTATATAACCCCTATAAAACCCAATATTCTATCTACTTAAGGGGGACGAGTGTCAAGCAAGACCTGGTGCGGGTTTGTCTGAAGTTCTTGCTAGCCGGTCCCCCTAGGCACCCTACATCCCCCTACTAGTTACTCCATAGGGACCTTAGGAGATTATTAAGGGAGTGTAGGGGGGATCCCAAGAGGAAGCTATACAGGACAATTTTGACTAGTTCTCTTCCAGAGACTTGCCAACGTGCAAGTTTCCAATAAGTAGTGCCGATCTTCATGCCGAGATAGCGCAGTTTTTTTCAGGGCGCAGCCGGCGACCGTTTTTTCCATTGCATGACCCGCATCGTGATGTGCACATCTCCTTGCTCGTTGGTAGAGAATGAATAACGAGCCATTTTCAAAAGTCAAATGCTCTGTACATTGTGTGGGGCCCATACCTTGCATGCTTGCTCAGGAAACAGAACGCTATGCTTACCACGCTCTGATTTGGGGATTTCGGGTCTAGATTTCAGTGATTTCCATAACCGGGGGCCATATCTATATACACCCCAATACGCAAAACCCTCACTCTAGAGCCGCCGAAAGCTTCTTGAAACACCAACCTTACATCTCCCCATATAGCCCAAATATACAACAGGATTTCGAAGACAGTAGCTGCAGCACCCACTCGTACACAGACTCTTGGGAGGATGGAAGCAATCCTTGATGAAGCCTTTGGGGTTTAGGAGTTAGGGTGTCGACTCTAGGGTTTAGTATCTAGAGAGTAGATCCTTGAGGCTTTCTAGAGATCACCCCGTAGCAAGCGAGGGTACAACTCTACCTGCTAGATCCTTCTGGGGGTATAAGATGGGTTCCAGGATCTTTGTTTGGATAGTGGTTGAGGGTATGCATAGCTGAACACGCTTGAACGGCATGCGTACCTGTGAAAACAAAAGCCAGGAGCCGGGGAGACATGCTCCCCTGAACAGGGGGCCATGTCAGCTTCAACTTCCAAGTAAGACCCATAGACCCTTATAGCCCTAAACCGTGAACCCTATAAGCCACTCATGAACTTCCAAGTAAGCAGGCCATAGCTGCCTTCACCAGGGACCTTGTCCGTGGCAGGACTGGGCAAGTGCGGAGACCTCCTGGAGTAGCCCAGCAAACATCGCAATCATCTAGGGATCTAGGGATATAGGCTTTGGGGACTCAGGGATGTTCCCCCAACAAGCAGAGAATCTAATGGAAACGATAAAATGGAACAATCAACTGCGGGTGGATACGGACATATAGGCTTGGGTCTTCTGATGGGACTGCATTAGAGACATGTTCGGTCTGCCACGTATCCGTAATGACCTACAGCTTGGCAGTATTAGCCCAAATCTAACTTGTTGGTGCTTAAGGGGGAGGGGGGGGAGTGAATATAGGGACCTTTAAGGGTATGGATGATTGTAGGGGTCCACTCACCCCCTATCCCTTAAGCACCAGCAAGTTGAGTTGTAGTAGGCAATTTGGGGTTGCAGGTAGGAATATCGTTTCTGTGTGTTTCGGAAGATGTGCCTGGAGGCTTCATAGTACTTGACATCGGCAGCCGCAACCAGGGTATGGAGGGTGTTCATGAGCTACAGTCTAAGCATCTGAAAAGGGGCTATATGGGGGGCTACATAGGGAACAAATACAAGGCTAATTGAGGGGGTACTAGGACTAGGAGTTAAGACAATGGCCTATATAGGTGTGTAGCGGTATAGGGTCCAAGAATGGAGAGTCAAATGAAGAAGAACATGAAAGATTAAATGGAAACCCCTAAACCTACTACTACTACTGCTGCTGCTACTACTACTACTACTACTGCTACTACCATGTCCAAGGAACCTTTCTTGCAATTTTTGAGGGACCTCAAGATGCCTTGTTAAGGGACCCTGAACAGTGGACTAGGGCTCCCTCTTGTAGTTAAGCATGTGTTGTGAAAGCCTGTTTTCTGCTAACTCTCGCAAACCTCGGAAACTAACAAAGTCAGTTTGGGAGTCCGTTTGGGAGTCCGTTCTGCAATCCGTTGGAAGATAAGTCCGTCTGGGAATCTGTTTGGGAGTCTGCTTGGGGGTCCGTTTGAGGATCCGTTTGGAGTCGGTTTGGAATGGGGCACCACCTTCAAAGGGGCTGCAAAGCGGACTATTCAACGACTACCGAACGTAATTTGTCAACTTGTGCATTTCCCCAACCTTGTCAGGACCAGGCCCTCGCAACCCTAATATAGTCCTTAATAGGGAATCCCACGATGATCAAATTATGCAGGAAACATTGACTGTTACTCGCATGGAAGACTAAACCCTAAAACCCTAAACCCCTAAACCCTGGTTCAAGTGATTTTGAACAAACCCTGTGGGTTGATTTTCGGGCTTAGGGTTGGTAGGGTTTCCCAAAATTATGGGTACCTTTAAAGGGGTTACTTGGAGGGTCAGGGGGACTTAACAAGTAGGTTAATAATGGGGATAACCTGGGTTACTATACGAGTTATAGGGGTTATTATTCCACTTATAAAGTTCCCATGACCCTCCAAGTATGGGGGCCATATACTGTTTAAGGTTTAGGGTCTAGGATTTAGGGCATAGGGTTTGGATTCAGGGTTCAGGTTTTCGGTTTTCGGGGTTATATTGAAATTGGCGTCCAAGAGTTTGGGGTAGCATTTTTGATGCAACGTTTCTTTTCTAACGGCAACTTTTGCTGCGAGCTGCGCTAGACTGCACTCTCAGTAGTGGGTTCCTAGGTTTCTGTTGATTGCCCCAGGTCACCCCCCGCCCAAATGACGGCCCCATGTACCATATGACTCTTGGAAGGGCCATTTGTTGCCAAGATCCTTCCTAAACCCTTAGCCCCACTCAATTTACAATGCATTTGGTTTTAATTTATCTGCTGCACCCACGAGTCCTCAAGTTCTCTAGTATTCTACTTACTGGTTCTTCATCAAGGGAGGGTGGGGGAGTGGATCCCGATAATAATCCTTATACTTAAGCCGTCCTTAAGCACCAGTAGGTCTACGGCTGATGCAGGAGGGTGGCAGTTGTGGCCCTCAACGGCAGCGCAGTCGACTGCTGGATCGCCCTCGACAAGCAGGTGGACCAGGAATACAGCTTACTGGGTTGCTGTTACGGACTTCAAAGTTGCTGTTGTCTAAACTCCTTGAAGGAGGGTTATATAGGGAATTGAATAGGGAAGTATTGCAGGTGTTAAAAAGGGGGATGCTAGGAGTCTAGACCATGGCTCAAATTGAGTGGCAAGAGTTTGGGTATGTAGTAGGTGATTGATACGGTTCGTTTAGATCATAGCTTTACTCAATTTTTAGCAGCAACCCAGTTTCGGGTTTACTTGGAGGTGCATGTGTACGCATAAGTGCTGATACTTACTCCAAACAGGGTTACAACTGGTTATTTATGTATGCCTGTGCTTATTAAAGCATACCTCTCCTACTGATGAAGCATACTAGAAGTAAGGTGCTCACTAATGTAACTAGGGTTGCCATCAATGTTGCTGTTGCTGCTGCTAGCTCTTGCTGGTGCTGGTGCAGGTCGTTGCTGCAGCGTTGTTTTCTGTTCGTGCAGATACTGCAGACAGCACAGGGGATGGTCTTATGCAGCTACTGATACAACAGTCATGACTTGTTTCGGTACGTCGATTTGTCTAGCTGTTCCTGCCTGCGAAGGGACAAACTTCCCGCCACATCGTAGCTCGTAACTGCATTCTGTCACACTTTTAAGGATCAACATATTCAAGCAGCAGAAAACTAATGCCGCACTCAGTTGTTTATGAGCGCAGTGCCTCGGAGACCCGCATTCCTGAGAAACTTCTGTACCATTTTACAGTGTAACGGCCCTTGACACCGTACGGCTGTGGTAGCGCCATGTACTGGACTCAACTGCACTGGCATGACGATGAAACAGAATCAGATGATTCACTGCCTTCTGCCCTGCAACCCAAAGCTTTTAATCTGCCGGTGTGATTGCGTGTCTTCAGTTACGCTACCTTGTGATCCAGCGCCTGGGCAAGAAGGCTCCGGTTCAGGGTTCAGAGGTCTGGTGTAGATCCGGGTTTGGGACGTTGGTTTCACAGGTTTGTGGCTTGGGGGATAGCTTGAGGAATCAGCCATGTAAGGTAGTAAGAGGCAGTTTCTCTGGAGATAGGCTGCTTTTTCTTACGCGATCCAGGCACTTTCCGTAATAGCTCTGCACAGCTTTCATGTAATATTATGTCATTTTAAATCCATAGCGGCCTTCAATGAGTTCTCCAACAGCCCAAATATGGGCAGGTCTCGAAATAGCTGTTCAGGCTTCATTCTTGCAACCCTCCTCTCATGCCCTGTGCAGTAAGAAAGGCTCCTCCTGCAAGTGTGCAATTACCAGTACTGTTTACCCGAAGGGCCCATGTAGATATTTAGTAGATGCTTGGGGCCCAGCGAGCTTGGCAGATACTTACTCTAGAGGTGTATACTCTAGAGCCACATGGAGCTTTTGGGTTAAGTATAGCACAGAAGTTCACCCAGCGGAGGAAAACCCATGTTCCGTCAGGGGTACTTGTACAACATGCATGGGCGGGCGTGAGGACGGAGCAGAATTATAAATAAATGGCTAGAGTTGAGCTGATACTGAAAACCATTGCTATTTGGGGCTTAAGGGGTTATAGGGATTATATAGGGTTATATACCGTTATACAGGGATAACGGAAAAGAAAAGGAAACTACTATATTGTGAATTTGAGCACCCGAAAGCCCAAACCGGTAAACCCTAAATCCTCAACCGCCGTAGATTGAGTAGCCTGAGATGTGCATCCTTCCATACTCAAACCTTCAAAGCACCCGAAGGCTGACGCTCCAAGCAGTCAAAAACCTGAGGAAATCTTGTGACATTATACGACACAGACATACACACATGTTTTTTACATGAGCTACTGTCAAGATTAGGAGTATTCAGGCACCATGAAGGGTGGATATAGAGGCCCCTTTGGTAGCTTAATTTAGTCCCTGATTAATATATTCCGGAATAGAACCTTGTCCCTTAATTATTTATGTAGGAATTATTGGCTGTTGCCCATATAGACAGAGATATATATATATATCATTAGCACGGGATATCCGTTGTCACGGAAGGCTTCTTTACAGTTCCCAGTAAATCAAATTTCATGAGTTCCTCAACAGTGGTGCCAAACCCCCAACTGTCAGGCGCCCAAGGCACTGAAACGGTGATTTCTCAAGGGTCGCTGGGGGGGGAGGCAGAGGGGCCTTGGCGTTGCATGGGGATTCTCAATGAATGAAAGAGGTTCTCCTTTACCCCAAGGGTCTAAGGACCCAAATAATGGGGTTGTAGAGCCCAGATACCATTAATTAATAGTAGGGTATTTGGGCCCTAAAGTAAGATCGCGAGGAGCCGTTGGGATGTCAAAGTTAGGGTTTGGGATGTTTCCAAAAAGTATTCAACATACCTCAAACCCTTGCCCCTTAACTTCACATTTTTAAAGTACAAGGGGAATTTTGGCACACCCTTAACTTCTTGTGGGGGTATGCCGCTGGGGTATGTTGAGTACTTCTTAGTAGATTTTGGAGGCTGTATGCGAATAGCCGATCTCAGACATCCAGCTTAAAACGACAAGCCTTGATGTCTACGCCGGCTACCCTAAACCCCAATCCCAGGCAAACGAAGCCATAAACCATCCTCATCCATCTCGAGCGCTACTTTGAAGGGCCCTGGAGTCAGCCAATGTACCATATGCCCCTAGCAACCCCTCAATCACCTTATCGTAAACCCTGAATGATTAGGGTCTCTAATCCTTTAGTAACACCTTAGACCCTACACCCTAGATCCCTAGACCTTATAATTCTTAAAACCCTAAAGGCTAAACCCGTAAACCCGAGGCCTTAATATCCTTGAGATCCATCCCCAGGAGGCGAAACGAAGAGCTGTGTCGCTGGAGTCCATTGACCAGGCTTCCGTCTTTTAAGGGTTGAGGGATTAGAGCTTTGGGTTTATGGGGCTAAGGGCTTGAAACCCCCAACCCCCAGTGGTTTTTTCTTGCATGTAGGATATGTAATATTCGGGGGTGGGGAGCTGTGATATTAGTTGGAGGGGATCTTTGTGTTCAGGGATAGGGCTGTGGGTTGAGGGTTTATAGATTGGGAGACCCGTGGTTGGCGCATAGGGTGGGACCCTAAACCCAAACCTCTTCCACCCACAAACCTTGTCTGTCCTCCCTACTTGCCATAATTGCTCCCTCATACCAAAATCGAGCTCAGTAGACTTACTTGCCTCCCCTGTAGAAGTCACCCGCGATCATGAACCTTCCCACTATGATACCATAACATGGTTACTATATTTATTACTGTTATTGCCACAATTTTTATTGTTGCTTTTATTCTTCTTATTATTGTTACTATTACTGTTACGCCTATTGCTACTACTATTCATCCTCAGCCCTCTATTATTACTATCAAACCCTAAACCCTACACCTCCTGAACCCCCTAAACCCCTAAACACTAAACCCTAAACCCCAACCCCCAAACCCTAAACCCCAACCCTAAAGCCTAAACCCCTAAACCCCCAAACCCTGAAGCCTAAACCCTAAACCCCTAAACCCTTAACTCTCCCTTCCGTGAGGTCTGCGTTGGCATCGCCGGGGCGCCCAGAAGGCTCAGGTAAAGGTTTAGGCTTCAGGGTTTAGGATTTGGGGGTTTCCCAAAATTAGGGGTACTTTTTTGGGGGTACCCATAATAAGGATTCTAGTATTTTGGGGTCTATAATTGGGGTCCCCCTATTTTGGGAAACTACCATTTGGAGTTCAGTTTTGAAGGTTTAGAGTTTAGGGGGTTTAGGGTTCAGGCTTTGGGGTTTGGAGTTTTAGGGGGTTTAGGGTTCAGGGTTTAGAGTTTAGAGTTTTAGTGGGTTTCAGGGTTTAGAGTTTTCGAGGGTTGAGGGTTCAGGGTTTAGGGTGTAATTAGAGTTTAGGGGGTTTAGGGTGAGTACTTTATTTGGGGCTGCCAGGGTCCTCAAGCAGAGCAAGATCAGATCATCCTTCAGGATATGGCATTCTATAAGCATCATATGAGGGTTTCCCAAAATTATGGGTACCTTTTTGGGGGTCTCTATACTAACGACTATAGTATATAGTGGGATCTATCTTGGGGTCCCCCTATAGGGAAATTACCATATATGCTTACCAGTTTCAATCACCAAAAAAAGACGCCACTCAGCTTTGTATGCATGCGGGTATCGGGGGGGGTGCTTCAAGTCCTCCCAGATGTCCAGGACCAAGAAACTGCTTATGCAGTGGCATGCGGTGCCACAAACCGTCGTCCAATTAAGTATTCGCGCTGCTGCAGTATTCGGCCCTATGCGGGACGCACGAGAGTCTAATATACTGGTGTCCGGCCGGTTTGCGGAGAGAGATCTTCTTTGGTTTCCACCTTAGTTTAAGGATGTAGACGCAAGTGTTCTCACATGATCGCATAAGGGGCACCCATCTCATGACCATGTTCCAATGACTTTATTTCACCCAGGTCTCTGGAAGTAGACCTGTTTTGAGACACTTCAGGTAGTGAACATGTTGAGCGAAAGTTGGGCTGTTGTATTTCTGGATGGTCATAAGTCCTGGGCCGTGGACCTCGAATCCCAATACCACAGCCCCTATACCCTAAACCTCAAATTCGAACGCCCGCCTAAGGTCCCAAGCTTTCACCCCTAAGCCCTGAACTCCACAACCCCAGGCCCAATCCCTAAAACTAAGCCCAGATCCTTTAACCATATAGGCCCGCAACCCTAAGTCCTGCACCCTGATTATGAATACTATTAAGATACTACTCATACTAAGAATAATACTACGAATAAGGGTAATACTATTACGAATAACAATATTGCTAACAATCATGATAGTAATACTATTACTATTAAAAGTAATGATACTGTAGCTAATAATAGTACTTATAACAAAATCTGTCTCTAGAAGCCAGGAAGCACAGGAGGAGTCTGGCCTGCCGCTGCACGACCTTTGCGTCTGCTTCTTGCTTCAGGAAGGGCAGGCGCAGTTTAGGGTTTAGGTTTTAGGGTAGGGGATATATAGGGATAATGGAAAGAAAGCTGAACATGGGAAACTATTACGGTTTAGGGTTAGGGGTGAGGGTTTGTTTTGGCTATCCAGGTTGGAGTTGAGGGCCTTCAGGGTTTAGGGATTGGGGGTTTGGGGTTTACGATTGGGCCATTTAGGTTGGATACTGCCCCCCCACCCTGTAGCAGTGGTGCCCAGAGATTTACCTTCTTTGATATTATTAGAGCCTTAATTGAGATTGGTCATATATAACTGTCGTATGGTGGGAGGAGTTTCCGAGGTTTAGGTTTTAGAGTGTTCAGCGTGGATGACAATGGGCGGCGGTACGCAGTAGAGGCCAGGGAAAGAGTCTTCAGTCATTTAATGAATTCATGAATGTGCGCTTTCCGTCTGAGGCTCTAGCGCCAGATCACTAAACCTCATGCTGAAATTCTGACCTCCGATTGGCAAGACTCACAAAGTGGTCCAACACTGGAGGCTTCATTTTTAAGTCAATTGTGGTCAAAATCGGCTGTTGCGGAATCCGCTCAGAAGGTCTAAGCTCTAGACCCTATGAGCCCCAAGCTGATCCTACACCCAAAAGACCATGTTCAAGCCTAACCGCCCCCCCAGAGCATTCAGCTCCCACGTAAGCCCTAATCCCACTGAAGCTCGACTACCCTAAAGCCTACACTCTAAGCCCTAAAGCCCATGCCCTAAACTGGGAGGCCATAGCATTCGTCCTGGGCAACCCAGAGGACCTTCAAGCTTCTGGCGGGAGTCCGTCACAGTGATCATACGGGAGATATTTGGATTATGTACCTCAATAATGTAGAATCCAAATGGAACATGAAATGGAAACTAGGGAATACATATAGGGGTTATATAGGGGATAGTTGTGGGTCTTCATCTGCAAGTGGGTGATTGTCAAAAGTATGGTCCCTTTTTGGATCCCTATTATAATACGGCACCTAATATGTAGGGTACCCAAAAAGGGACCATAATGTTGACAACAACCCAAGTTTAAGCCGGTGCACCTTGAAGAAACACAATTTGGCCGGATTTCTTTTGATTCTTTACAGTGTGCCCTGCAGTGGGCGAAGATCATGTGTCATGGGTTGCGAACCCCAGCGCACGCACAAACTGCAGAGGTTTGTTTTAGTGGCACTACGAATGGTATACGTGTATGCATGAACTGTCTTGCTTGTCTGCATGTATCTAATCTATATACGTATGTATGTGCCGATACGCATACATCCTTCTTTAAGAACTGTGTTTACCTTAGGTTCCAAATTCCACTCCACATTTGCGCCTCGCTGCCCCCTGCGCGTTAAAAGGAATGTTCAGATAGGATTCTATAGTGTAGGGATTATACCGCAAGAACGCTTGAAGGTGACAGGTCAAATATTCAAGTGCGTAGCCTTCAAGTCCTTTATACAGTGCATGGCCAAGGCAAGCTCAACGTTGGCTTAGGCTTTGCACATTCCTTAAAGGGACCCTACTGGGAACCCCAAATAGGGAACCCCAAGAATATAGTAGGTATATAATGAGAATATACCTACCGGGGTCCTTATATTCCATTATATTCCTGCTATATTCTTGGGGTTCCCTATTTGGGGTTCCCAGTAGGGTCCCTTTATTCCTACTGAAGCCCAGAGACTAGGACTATGAACACAGACCAAGACCTGCGGGATGAGAAAGAAGTCGGGTCGCCCAATGTAAGCCGGTTGTAGCCCGAATCGAATCCAGGGGACTTTGTCTAGATTTCGTGGGGTCTGAATGGGCCCAACTGGTTGACTTGATTTTTTTTCGGCACATCATATGGTAGTTTCTCTAAATAAGTGGACCTCAAGATGGACCGCAGTATACTATAGTCCTTGCTACAGAAACCCCAAACTTGTACCCCTAGATTTTGAGAAATCCACATATATAGATCAGAGTTCCTTAAACACCCCCCCCCGGACCAACAAATCCCTCAGCCACTGTCCACCAATCAGCCCCAAACATCCCTCACCACTGCTTAAGGTCAAGGATATACACTGAATCCAAACTCTAATCCCACGAGCCCTACACTTCTCTGCTGAAAGCCTTGCTAGCTCCCATCTCCACGAGTTGTTTAGGGTTTGGAGAGTTAGTGCTAGGGGTTTAGGGTTAAGGTTTAGGGGTATATAGGGATATATACAGGGATATATACATGCGGGACATGTAGGGTTTAGCGTATATTACGCCCAGTAATGGACAATCAAATGGAAAGAAGATGGGAAATGGGTGTTAACGGTTTTCTAGTAGAGTTTAGCTTCAGGAGCGTGATACCTTTGCCCTGGTCATGTCCATGTTCATCGATCACCGGAGAACCGAGGACCCTGGCTTTGAACGCGGTTTAGGGTTTAGGGGGTTCGGGAACTAAACCCTAAAACTAAACCCTTAACCTGGTGGTTTATGATACCTGTTAGAGGTACACCGCACAGGATCCCCTGAAGATGGCGCCAAGATACTTCGCCTGGTACATATCCTCATGGAGGGTTTCGGGTTACGTAGTTGCAGCCCTGAAAAAGAGAGCAACTGCAAATGGGAACTTCCCAAGACGCGAGACCCTTCTTGCCTATCATTGCCTATCGGAAGGGGGCGTTACCAAAAAAGGTGGACACTACTCAAACTGAACCTTCAAAAAGACTTGGCCTGATCTTTGACACCATCTTCCCTCCAGACCCCCACGGGCAGTGTCAATGTGGTTAGTCCTACGTAGTCCCTACGCTCAGGCTGCATTCACACCATGCATGCCCTACAGAGCCAGAGCCAGAATTCTCGCCGCCTTGATAGAACTTACGTACTATAGGGGCCCAAACAGTTGACATGCTAGCTTCCTTGTATAATTTCGCTACGGGGCATCCCAAATAGAGCTCAAACTGGTATCAGTATTTGCGCAGTATGCCATTTGAGTTTTGATGATTTCCCGCACATCCACCTTTCGAAGTCAGTCAAACATACAAGTCCACAGAAAGATGACGCAGAAAACATGCGTCTTGACAAGCAACTAACGTGGGTCCAAGGTTTAGGGTTTAGCGGGTGGTCAACAAGGTGCTCCTTGTTTGAGTCCCGATAAATGACAGCCCCAAAAGGTAGTCTCCAGAAATAGGGAGACACCAAAATAGACCCGAATAGATTATGCTCCTTACTATGGGGACGGACCCCAATAAGGTACCCCTAATTTTGGGAATCCCGCAACCCTAAACCCTAAACCGCGACAATTATTTTAACAAGCCCTCACGCGGCCCATCCTCGACGAGCATCCCCAGTTCATGGGGGCGTGCTATTCTGTACCTCGAGTTGGCTAGTGGGGGGGGTATATAGTGGTTTTATAGTGGCTATGTAGAGATTATATAGGGGTTATATAGGGGGTTATGGAAAAGAAAATGGAAAGTATTCTTTATATCTTGGAAGGTTGCGATAGTGACCGATACAGGAAAAGATTACATTCTTCTTGCGATTTTGTTTTTAAGACAAATGATAATCTTACTTGCTTCAGCCACCACGAACCCTACGCAGTTCCCTAAATAAACCAAGTTTCTGTGTCAGTTGTCAATTTGTGTTCGTTTTTTCTCAGGGTGACCTCCCTAAACCCTAGTCCTAAACTCGCGCTGACTGAAGTCTGTTTCTGGAGGTTTTTGCATGCATTTCTTTATGCCCTTTTCCCTGACGCAGGCCGAGGAGCGAAAGAGCATGCAGACAACGGTGATGCCATCCTTGCCTGATAGTTAGTCCCCGGGAAATTTAGGGAATTAGGGTTTAGGGGTTTAGGGTTTAGGGTTCTACTGGGCAATTTAAGGCGACCTCATCCGACCTCACCCTAAATGGTGGTATATATAATTACGGAATAGTACCAAAATGCCCTAAAACTGGGAAGTGAAATTGTTCTAACTAACCCTGGTTTTAGGGTTTCAGGGTTTTCATGGTTCTAAGGTTTTTAAGGTTTAGGATAGTATAGGCTGAGGGATTAAGCTGCCGGGGACTAGGGTTTAGTGTTTCCCAAAATTATGGGTGCCGCTTGGGGGTCCCCAGAATACGGACTAATGGGGGGTCCCCCTCTTTTGGGAAATTACAAGTTAGGGCAGACCACTGGCATGGGAGTATATAGGGACTATAGCAGCATGCAGCCCCATTGAAAACCCTAAACCCTAAACTGCAATCTAGAGATGCAATGGGGATTATGAGGAGATTCTGGGGGTCCTTATTGAGGATTGTAGAGGGGATGCTTCAGCTCACATAATATGGCTTCCTGGCCGTGAATGCTGAATGCACCAATGGATCTCTGTGGTACACCCTTTATAATCCGCATGTAGGTTTTCCACATTCCATACCTCAACGATAAGCCCTAGCACGATAAGCCTGATCGAGGGCCCCTCTTGACAGTTGACGCCCGCTCCATTTTGAAAGTCACATAACTTGTCTGGGGGAGCTTGACAGGGGACCACTGTAGGTTGCGGCAGCGCAGCATATGCCTTTTAGCCTTTAGTGTCTTGTCATAATGTAGCATGGTAACGGCCAGTGTGAATTTCCCAACAAATCCTCAACGTTATCGGTCGTTCTTGGCAGTGATGCCCCAAATTTCCCTCCGAGTTAGCGCTGCCTCGCTGTTGCAGAGAGCAAAGATTTGGAGCACAAAGCTAACGTTCCTCTGCAGATTGTGACTGAAACCGTATTGGTGGTCATGTTATAGTAGTGCGTTCTTGATGACGACGATGATGATGATGGTGGTGGTGGTGGTGGTGGTGGTGGTGGCGGTGGTGGTGGTGGTGGACCCTAAGCCCTAAACCCTAAACCCTAAGTGGTGGTGGTCGTGGTGGTACACAATTTCATGGTTAGGTGGTGATGCTAGTGCAGGTGGAGGTGGGGCGGAGCCAGGGTGGATTTTAGTACTTGGAGGATCTCTTGACTTTGTAAGTCTACTCCCTTTAAAGGGAATATAGGGTTTATATATAGGTTATATAGGGGTATGTAGGGTTTAGAGTTTAGGGTCCACTCCGTAACTTGGGTTATAGGGTTTATAATAGAGGCTGCTAGGGATAGTAGGTAAACTTACTAAGTCACAAGATCATCCAAGTAGGGGTGGTAGCCCCTCCGGCTCAATATCCCGGACAGATGCGCCATTGCGCCACTCTGACTCTGCCAAACGGTACAAACCCACCTAGGTTAGTATAATTGCCTGGACCCCAAAATTAGGTAAGATGATTAAGACCCCTAAACAATATCCCAAGATGCCATTCTTCTAATTACATACGTTTGGGGGTTTCATGCAAACACTTCAGCATCCCAAAGATGCATGCATCTGAAACTGGGATGGCCGCAAGCAACAAAGGAGCAAGAGGGACAAACATATGGATGGAACTACCGCAGTTTAGGGTCTTAGGGTTTAGGGTTCATAGGGTTTAGGGTTTAGGGTTTAGTGTTTAGGTTGGGTACTGCCCCCCCTCAGTAACAGTTGGATAATATTTATAACATGGTTACATATAGCCCTTAATAGGACCCCTAATATAGACTGTTACTGGGTGGGGGCAGTACCCAAGGT